AATATTTCAATATTATAAAATAATTTTATTATTTAATTATTTAAATGATTTATATTAAAATGAATTTATTTTATATTTTATTGTTTTCTTTTATCTTTATTTTATATTTTAATAATTTCTTTAATATTATCATTTTATATTATTATTATCTTTATTCTTTCATATTTTTATTATTTATTATTATTATATTTTTCATTTCTTATTTTATTTTAATTTATTATTAATATTATTTATATTTCTTTTCTTTCTTATTATTCTTCTTCTTTATTCTTATTATTTCTTTATTTCTTATTTTTTTATTTTATTTATTTTCATTTGATTCTTATTTCATTTCTTGTTTTGATTATTTTGATTTGATTTAATTTAAATTTTTATTATTTAATATATTTTTGATTATTAATATTTATTTATCATTTATTTATTATTTGTTTTTATTATTATCATTTGATTTATATTTATTATTTATTTCTTTTATTATCTTTCTTTATTCTTTATTATTTATATTATATTCTTATTTCTTATTATTTATTTTTGATTTTAAATGATTGTTTCAATATTCATCATTTTATTTATATCTATTATCTTAATCTTATATCATTAATTTCTATCATTAAATATTGAATAATCAATGTGATATAACAAATAATTTAATTAATATATCATTATAAAATGAAATGATTAATAAATGATTTCATAATAAATATTAAATTCATAAAATAAAGAATAATATAATATAAAATGATAAATAAAAATAAAAATGATAATAATAATAAATAATAATACAAAATATAAATAATAATAAATATAAAAATGATATAATACAAATATAATAATCAAATTAATATATAAATAAAAATAAATAATAATAATAAACAAATAATAAAATTGAATATATTTTTTATTAAACAATCGAATAAATAAAATAAATAAAAAATATAAATAATAACAGAATAAGAATAAAAGAAATATATATAATAAATAAAAATAATAAAAACACACATAGAAAAAGAAATAAAAAAATAAAAGATAATA